GATGTGATATTATCGCTCCATCCACGGACGGGTCCCTCTCGTCTCCCACATAGCAGCCCGCTTCCCCTTTACGCCGTCGCCGTCGAGTCGGTGCGCTTGCTCACGTCGTGGGGGCAGGCCGTAAGCAGCCTACCAATCGGCTGACAGCTGCCTGCCAAACTGCTCGTGTCCAGCGTGAGCCCGGTGCCAGCTAATAAACCGTCCGGCTGCTGTACGAATGACGGGACGAGGCTCGAGCTCTTCTCCTCAGAATCCACCCTTGCCGGTGCTGGGACTCGAGTCCCAATCCTGCAGCTTTCAGCAACCTGAAGTTGATAGTGGACCATCTTGCTCAGGATGGTGCAGCCTGACATTGTGGAATGCAGCCCCCCATAAATGCACTTGCAAGGGGTCTGCAGGTCATCGTGAGATTTCTAGATTTCCAGCATGCAAGACAGCTAAGACAACCACCTCTCTGTTATCCACGACGCCGCTTTCACTCAGAACGCCATTCCAGTTGTTGTTTCCCTCAACTGAAAATCGAAGCGTTGTCAGCTTCCCTGCCGATATCCTCGCTTTCAATATGGGATGGAGCCACTAGTTGTGCCGATCGCCCTCAAACTGGGGGCTCAAAAGACTAGGATCGTTCAGCAAGACATCGCTGGCAACGGCGCAAAATCCCCCGGTCAGATACGGCGCGAGCGGCAAACCCACGACACCCACAGAAACATCAAACAAATACGCCTCTATCTCCAAGTCTCGAAAGTAAGTTGAGCGAAACGCTAGAAAACTGTTCTAGATCCCCTCTGTGCTGCAACTTGCGACCTCAACGTTACTAGTTAGCCAACCACACCAAACACAAGTTCTTGCTCGTGCGACACTTGGCCGAAGTGTGTCGTTGCTTTACCTAGATACTTCTACCTTTGGATGCTATCTTATGTGGGTGACACCAGAGTCATTATCCAACAAGCAGCATCGAATGGCTCCTCAAGTTCATAGCGCCAGGGATGACAGCGGCAAGCGTAGCCAGCCTTCGTTCTGTGCGCGTTCCTCCTCCCGAGTCCGCAGGATTTCCCCGGCAGGGATCGCGGGGACCTGACACGTCCCGAGTGCGCCCTACTCATTGCTTGAGTCTCTGTTGCTGTCGTCTCCAAGACAAAGGCAATCACTGTCTCCACGCAGAGATCTACATCTGCGACAGTGATCAGATGGCGCGAAAACAATCGTGTCGATGGCTCGGGCTATTTTCCGCACTAACAAGTCAAGATGGTGTTCTACCCCTTTCTCATGCTTCATGGTGCAACTTCATCATCTCGGGCAAAACACATGGCGCACGGATGATTTCATCTTCCGTAGCTCCCGAGGATCGCTCCAGGAAGAACACGGTTTTGGTCTTTCAGCGCAGCCTGCTCCTTCGGTCTCTGGGCATATCAAACTTCTGACGAAAGTACGCGACAGACGGGATGTGGAGTCGGCCGGTTGACCACAATCCCAATTCCCTCATCTGAACAGGGGCTCCTGCAACCGCACGGCCTTAGAATCCTGATTGACCTGCCTCAGCTCATCCTCAGTCAGCAACTGGATTGCCTGTTTGGCATTCCTTCAGCCACACTTGCTGGCCCTGTGATACATTATGGTCAAGGGCTGTTGGGGCCATGTCGCAACGATCTGGGTCGGCTGTCAGGTCAGTCGGAGACCGGGACTTCAATGAGCACGCAATGGCCCAAACAAGGTATCGAGTCCATCGGCAACGTTTCCGAGAAACAGAGCCCCCATCTATATCGCTATCAATATACGTCAAGCCAGTCTTTTCCGCGTACCGAAAAGAGCCTTTCTCTGGCTGACGTCCACAAACTATCGACAGTCGAAACGAAACATTCTCAGGGTCTCGGTTGACTTGGTCGCAATTCTGAATCGCCGTTTACTGGTCGCACGGTTCGGACGAACACAAGACGGGCCTCTCGTAGCCGTCGGTTCGCGTCATTTCACAACAACCCGGCCAGATAAATTTGTTTCCGTCAAGCGTACCCAGACCCTGCTCGGGCTCACGATGCCCGCCTTGGACGAGCAGGCGCGTCGATAGTCTCAACGCCCCAGCAAGGCATCTCATTGTCCGAGGGCGTTAAGAATCGCCATGCTTCGGCGACGAAAATAGATTGTGACACCCTCACGCAACTTCTTGGTTGCCCTATTCGGAAAAGGGAGCCAGTCAGCGAGCTGTCACGGGCGTCGAGTAACATCTGAAGTAAGTTCAGTCGGAAGCTTTGTTCTGGAACTTATCCGGGTATCACATCAGACTGCGTGGGTTCCCGGCCGTCAATCGCCCCGTGATGCCTCCGGCTAACCTTATTAACCAAACGGTTGTCGGCACGCCAATACCTCGGAAACCAAACTCTCTTGTGATCTTTGCTCTCCGTTGAGATGATGCCGGAATTGCCAGAGTCTTCTGACTTCTAGCCGCCGTGGCAACCCAGACTCTCGGTCTCTGGGGCATTCCTGTGAAACATTCCTGATTTAAGCGTAAATGGACTTGCGAGATATGGGCGAAGTATGTCACTGCTATTCATTCCTTGGCTCTGTCGATCCGGGCGATAGGCTGGCGAGCTGAGCTTGGCAGTTTTTTGTTTCATCGAGATGTGTCGGTCCAAGTCAGATGTCTCGGAGCAGGTCTTGTTGCGCATGTGCTGCCAAGTAAAGTAGGCGGTTGCTGAAAATACCAGACTTTGCGACAACGAGCTCGGCTGTCGTGGCAACGTTGATCAGAGGTAAACATGCTTCAAGCAGCATCTTGGCAGCTGGAAAGAAACCTTTCAGCTCGCCTCAGCTTGGGGCATCATTTTTTGCGATGGATTGTTTCTCAACACGGCTGTGCTTGGCAAAGTCTAGGTTGCCGAGGTACTACTCCAGATGCTCAATATCCAGGCGAAAGTTCTGATAAGTCTGAGTGTTCATCTTCTTCCATGTGCTACATTCAGAAAGTGGCATGCCCATGGTGTTGATGAAATTTGCCAGAGATGATAACGTGTGGGATGTTTGTTGCTCAGAATGATGGTTGTGGGGTGGAAACTATGGTTGATGATGCTGCCCATACAGCCAGTTGCATTCATGTCCACGAACCAGAGTGCTTGGGCAGCAGTAGATATAAATGGCGCAATCATAGAGCATGATCCTGATGTACAACAATGATCATCCAACCGGGTGTGTTAGATGTTCTCCATCTCTCTGAGAACTGAGTGCGCTTCCGCGTGGTCACACCTCTGTCTCTCTCACAAGGCGAGGTGTATATGTGATGCTGGACTGCATGGAACATTACGTTATTTCCTTTGTCCCGCGTCGTTATCCTTTCATCTTCTACCTTGTAGGGTGAATAAACTATAGACGCGTTCACAACTTAAGGATGGGGCATCAGCTGAGTGTCGATACTTGCTGTCGGCAGTGAGTGTATTGTGAATGCCTTACTATGTGTTGCTATCTCCGTCAACACCGGCCATTGCTGGGTAAGTTCTGGCTAGCTTAGTTGGTGATATTGTCCATCTTCATATTTGCAGATTCTCTGTACGTTTTGTGGGATCCATTGCCCTTTTGTCCTGTTAGGGAAGTCTGCGGTTGTGTTTGGTTTCTTGTGATGGCACTTGGGCAATGATTCAGATTCAGAGCAGCTCTTAGGATTGTAGCCTCCAAGGGAAAGCCCGTCTTGGAACTAAAGGCTGTGATGTGTGGATATAAAACGCTCTCACGGTAGACCTGTCAATCTCCAAGCCAAGCCAATGTGCTACCATTTGTTACGTGGCTTGATAGTTTCTTATGATATCAAACCAGGCTCTCCCAAGCGCTATCCTTAGCTGAGTGTCACATTACCAACCTGGAATCTACCATTTTTCATCGTTATCTCTGACGTATTGGATCGTCATACATGTAGAGGGAATTGCATCTGGCTGGTCCCTATGAGCTTACAGTCTTCAGTTGCCCATGACGCGAAGTTGCTTGTCGTTCTATGAGAAAGAATCCGGAAAGAGACTTTAATTTTGTTCCCTCCTTGCTCCGAGTTTGTTTTGGAGAAGAATCCTTCTTTTAATAGAGAAACTGTCGGATGTACCGCCATTTCGACCATATCACAGGGTCGATATCGTAGGGATGGGGACACCAGGTCACTGCCAGTGTCATAAAAGCGAGTCCGTATCTTCTTTCCATTGCTTTCTTTACAACCAGAAGATATCTTCGTCTGGTTACGGATGCCAGTTTGATGCATCAAAGTATCAATAGCACCTCCATGTATAGATCCCTGTGGCTGAGGTCGTTCGACGATATGAAGAGTCATGAGCCCCGTGTGTGTCATCCAGCATTATCGCCGTCTTCGGTGTATTTGATGAGGTATTCTGGTGTGCATAGAATTCGTATGTTTTGCAACATTTTTGTCCGCGGAACAATCAAGTAGAAGACGGTGATTCGATCCCCGTAAGTTCTCCGGAATTGAACGCCTGCAAACGACCTTGAAGCCCATATGATTGTGGTGTGTTCCAGAAGAAACGCTTTCGGGGCGCCACTCTTCCATTTTATAAGTAGAAGCCACGTTCAATCCATCAGGAAGACAGATGAGAACATGACGCAAAAGAGATAAGTCACGTTTTCGCTAGCGACTGCCTTCATTGTTCTGGCTTGTCGCCCATGAATCGGTCTAGTGCCCCAACCGGACGTTTCTTGCCGCCGGTAAATGTGTCCAGAAAAATTAACGAACAACAGTCGAGAGGGACCCCGGAAATGATGTAGATGAATCTTCCACAACACGGCAAGAGTCAGGCACGTTTCGGTGGCATGATTCTGATGAAAAATAGTATGATGACTGGTTGTATGAACATATTTGACTGAATGGTACTTAGAAGTTTCGAACATTGCCCAAGAAGCGTCTCGTCTTGAAACTGGGAGCGAGGTATTCTTCGTTGAAGAGTAAGACAAGCCGAATGGTGGATGAGAGAAGCCGGATTGGTGGAAGACGGCAACTTCCAGTCCGACTGGATATGGGCTTACTGGCTAGATGACCGGCACAGACGACCGTCCATGAGCTCAACCCAGTCTTCACTGCCAACACAGCGGTGATACCACTGAATGGAGTCGGGATCATACTTCTTCTTGATCTCTCGGAGCCTGTCGTAGTTTGGACCCCAAAAGGTCTTTTGCCAGTCGGGCTCGCGGTCGTCAGCCTTTTGCAGTCAGCAAATGTCTCCATGCCTTTACGACGGGGCGGCTCTTGCGAATGCTCACCTCGTTGATGTAGGCACCGGAATTGGGGGCGAGACTCCGTAGGGCACCGCAAACTCGCTCTGTCGCATCGTCCACGGCATACGCCACCTGAGGGTAAGCAACAGAATCGTCCCACCCCCTCGTGACGAGAAAGTGCACTACTGCCTCCCTCCAGGCGGGATTGAGGGCGTTATCGACGGGGATACTACTGGCGATCAACCCCCCTGCAATCGTGGGGTTCGAGATGCCGCTCTTTCAGATGTTAGTAAGAAGTCCATGGTTGAAGAGAGAGAGTAATCTCGGACAAAAGAGAGGAGACACACTGAAGGGGGTTCGGCACGAGGCCCGACGGCTTCGAGCACTTGGGCCATCTTCTGCACGTTGTTAGTGAGCGGCGCGGCGGGTATCAGTCTCGAGACAGTTGCGCCTCCTCCACCAGCAGCACCGCTCAGCGCTGCCACCGGAAGCATCTCGTAGACTGTAAACCAGTCTGGAAAGTACGTAATGTTGGAGGTAAACGAGACCTCAGAGGCAGCATCCTTCAGCTTGGATAACACAGGCGCCGCCAGCGTTTCCGCTGTTCCGTTCGGTTTGTTGTATATGAAGAAGAAGAAACTGAAGTGGAGTGACTTATAAGACGGAGGGCCTGCGACTGTATAGAAACCCTGGAAACCTCCAGCTTTAAGGGCCGGAAGCTCGGTGTGAAGCTCTGCAATCAGAGACCACCAATCCTTGACGGTGGTGTTGGGACTTCTGTCCACGTTAAGGATCCAGGTGGTTGCTTGAGGCATCGGGTGTGCCTTGACGGTCAGCTCTGTGATGACGCCAAAAGTCCCGCCGCCGCCGCCGCGGATCGCCCAAAAGACGTCGGCATTCTGGCATTCATTGGCAGTGATGATGTCCCCTGTAGGCGTGACGACGGTTGCTTCGATGATGCTGTCGGCGCCCATGCCGTACTCGCTGGTGAGCCAGCCGTGGCCGCCGGCGACAGCCCAGCCCACGAGGCCAACGTCCTTTGTAGATATCAGCTTCTGTGGTTTAGGTTGTCCAATGCGCGAGTCGTTGTTTACTTACCGCGTTGGTCCCGCCGACCACGGCGACTTCATGCTCTGCAGCAGCCCGAAAAGCTTCATCATCCTGGATCCCGGCGCCAAAGGTCATGGCTAACTGAGGTGTAGAGGTGGTTGAGTTGAGCGCAGGGCATCTCGGAGCAAAGTCTGAATGGAATTCATGCTTCTTCAAGTTATGAGTCCAGACCCTTCCGGTATTGTGAGTGAAAGTACAGCGAGATTCGCAGTGGCAGAGAGGACCTACGACAAGCTCCCCAGGCAATGCTCCTGGGAAGGAAAGGGGCAACATTAGAAAAATGTCTGGATAGCCTCGCGAAGGTCAAACTCACTTGGACGAGCCATGACCAGTATTCTTGACGTTCAGACGCAGATTGTGCTCGCGAGCAAACTTGACGGCTGCTTGGACGTCTTCCGCACTGGTCACATTGACGGAGTACGCAGGATAACGGCCCACGGTACATCCTCGGGAACCTGCCAAAGGGTCACCGGAGGGACTGGTGCCGTTTTCATGGATTGGGTTGCAGCTGTTGTTCGCATACCATGGGGAGTGAACGCTCACTGGGTCAGATGAGTGGAAGGCGGCTGTGGTCCAATTTGAGAGGACTGCTTGGCAGGCAGCTTCGTCGTAGTTTGGCTGGTCCTTGTAGCAGACTGGCCCAGGAAGGACGGTCTTGAGAAGCCTTCCGGAAATGGTCTCGTTGAGGGCCGTCCACACTGCGTCCGAAGGCCAGCAAGAGTCGCCAGGGGCCTGTTTAACTTAGCGGTTCGTTCTAGTTTCCATATTGCTTGTCTAAGAATTCCAAGATGAGTAAGTACTTACGCATTTGCAGTCCGATGCGTTTGCGAGCTTGGTAGCAGCGACAGCCACTGCACAAAGTTGACCGAATCTCATCGCAAGAGGCTCGATAATTCGTGACCGAAGTGAAAGATGTCTTGTCCACGGGGATAAACACGTTGTCCTTCAATGATATGGCCCATCTGATTATATACTATTCCAATTTGTCTGCTGAAAAATTGCGGGCTGTTGCAGTTTTCCATGCGTCACGACGGCGATTTGATAGTACAGCTCATTGAATACGAGGAAGATGCTGTTGCAATACGCGAATTCACGTATAGAACTTCAGTGCAGGCAGTGCAACTGGGCGCTCATAACGCTTGGCCATTGGCTCAGCATATAGCCGACTACACGTACTTCACAGGCATCCAACTTCCTCTTGCTGCTCTGTTGCCTCTTCGAGCATATTGTTCTATGTTCTACGTAGCTCTACAGTCTCTATTTCTTGAGAAGCTAGGCGACTTAGTATCTTGTCTTGTGCCTGACAACGGCAGATCCTGACCAAGGTTTTTGAACACTCGTATCTAGCGGCATCTATCTAAAGTCGCTACCCCGACTATTACTAAATCTACTTAGATACTTTATCTTGGCTTAAAAACACTAATCTAGCTATCTAGTTATGTAATAAGAAATAAGGTTGAACCGTCGATCCCATAGAAACTTCTGTTAGGGATGCGGTAAATAAAAACGACGTCGTGTGAAGGTACGCGTGTCCGTGGCTTATGCCGCTATTCACCGGAAGTTGCGGTGAGGCTTAAGCTATCTCTCATTTCAAGGAACGGCACCTGGTATGCTGAACACGCTCCCCGGCTACAAAGCAGGCCGATAGTTCTGTTTAACACTCGGAGGGCTCATGTCGACTCGCTCTCTTTGATGAAATCTTAGGCTACTACCTCAAATATCAATTCGCTGTGCACCTATTGTAGCCCTCGTTGACCACCAAATATCTTGTCTAGTTTCTGGTGCAAAGAAGGCCGAATGAGATACAATCGATAGGTGACATGCCTTGAGGCCCTCATCTCGGCCACATGCTTTCGTCAATAAGCCGCAGTCATCGTGAATACCGAGTGAAGGTTAATGCTGAAATCAAAGGCGACCAAGATATCTGAGTATTAAAGACCCCCTGAGATGACATAGAATCATGCAATAGATGGCGGCACGTAATGTTTGTTTCTAAGCGCAGATCGATACGGTCGACGAGCTTCGTTCTGTTCATCTATTCAAGCACTTCCAGAAAAGATCGTGTAGGGATATAGAGTATGAAAAATTCAAAGACCATCAACTCAGCTTCTGTTCTTCGCAGAAGGCTTGCACGAGATAACACGGCCCCCAATGGTGACATGATGGCTTCGTTCGTTTCTCGCTGTGCAAACACGGTTGATATGAGCAGGCAGAGCCAAGCTTCGTCCGTAAGTACTACTGAAGAGGAGCAAAGAGACGACAAGACAATACGTAGGAATGGAAGTGAATCAAGTGATCCCCTTCCTCGCGATGCCTTTCATCTGGACATGTAGATGACGAATGGTATTGCGATGCTCAAAATCGCACAACTCTTCAGCCCATACGAGTGACACCATGAGAACAAAGATCAATGAAACCACCGGAATGTCTCAGGATAAACGAAACGCAAGCTTTTGTCAAGATTGTTCGACGCGACCTTGAACCACAGCTTCAGCAACCCCCGAGAAACGTTCAAGAGGCTGAATCCGTCAAAGTAACCTGTCTCAAGCAATACGCAGTGGCATACTTTTGCATCGAACCAAATACGCTCAACTGGATTGCTCCGTAAGAGGGGTACTCCGACCAAACTCTGTCGAGTAACGTTTCTCTGACTCGGAGAGGAGGGCAGAAAGAGGTGTGCCGGATTTTGGAGAACAACAAGCTTAATTGCTAGCTCACGATATCCAGATAAGAAATTCACCGGAACTCAATCTGTACCCCGCCTGCTGCGACATTCAACTTCTGCGTTCTTCTAGATCTGGTCTAACGTTTAGGCAAGCCGGCAGTCTCTGCGATCTCTCATCTCTCATGACGCCTCGCTCACTCGCGTCGCGGTCGTACTCAAAATCCCATTCAACTCCGCCACAAGGCATTGTCAACGAGGACAAACCCCCTTTGTTTTTGTAATCCAAAATAGCATTCACCACAAAGAAAGAACGAGGCATTCAACGACAAACACCATGCCAAAACATCACCACACGAACCAAACACCATGCCCGTCGGCACCATCCGGTCACAAACCTAAAAGCGGGGCCGATTCCCCCACGGAATCCCGGCGCCTACGGATCGACGTCCGGGTCGAGGACAGCAAACACGCACACACACACGAACACCAACCAGGCACAGCCCACACCGAAGCCGTCACTTTTCTTTGTCGCGCGCCTAATAACGGCACCGAACCTCACTCAAACCTCATCAGCCTCGGATGGTCTAGATTCCTCCTCTTTCCCCGTCCCCCTCCCCTCCCCCAAACTAATTTACTTAATCTCTGAAAGATCAATGCACGGCCGTTTCTTTAGGGGCGCGGATTAGACAGAACGATGCCCTTCAAAGCGGCAAGCCTCCACCAAGGCGAGCCTTCTCGGTCATGAGTTTCCGCTTTCGGCAGGCTGATCGCGCGCGAACTTGTACATTTCCGGACCTACGTTTCTACCAGCGGCCGCGGGCGCGCAAAAGGCTTCGGGACTTTCCATCACGGGCCAATATCGAAACCGCATGTGCCGTTCCCCTTCACTTCACAAGTCTCGCGCGTGAACAGCTCGAAGATTAATTCTTCCGTCTGGGAGAACCCCGTCGACGTCTTCTTCGCACATGGCCCAAACCGGGACCATCCCCAGAGGGAAGACACAACGACACAAAGTCGTCATCTGCCCGTCTCTATCTCCCCCCTTTCTGTGACAACAACCACAAATGATCTGTCGTGATCGGAGTCACAGCTGCCAACCTAAAGCCGCACAAAGTTTGAACCATCCCCCCCCCCCCCCCCCCCCCTCCTCACACACCCCCAACGGGCACGCAGGAAGGAAGTTACCAACGCAGCGGGTTCGGTGTGGTGCGCGGCCAACGGGGAAGGGGGGACCGACCAACAGCCAACGACGACGCGTTAAGGTTCAAAAGTCTTTCGGGCTTGCGGGACGTCTTGCGTCTCATCGAACCCGTCGGGGGTTGGAAGGGCTGCCGTGGAGGGAGGGGAATTGGGCCGCCATGCGGTCAGTGAAAAAACAGAGGACGCAGAGATGTGCCGTGCCGCGTAGAGAATTAGCTCATGAAATGTCCGTCCGGTTCGGTATCGTGTGTCGCATCGCATCGTATCGCCAAGTCGTTACGAAGTGCCTTGGTTGCAAAGGTCCTCCTCCTTCGGCACAACTTGCACCACCACACGTTCAGACCGTTGCGTCTGTTGTTTTGGGCTGGGCATTTGCGTATATGACTGCTTCGCATAGCGGTAAAGGCACATAGGACCTAATCACCAGGGCGACGCCGTCGCGGACCAAGTGGGCGAGCAGAATGCTGAAACAGCATGTCGCCGGTTTCGTGTCCGTGCCTGGACCGCCCGCTCCCAGGGGGCAAGAAAGGCCGGGGGCGGACCAGCATCGCCGCCCTCCTTCCCAGGGGCCTGGCCTTGGCCTGGGGTTCGGGTCAGGCACGAGAGAGGAAGCAGAGAGATCATGCCAGCATCGCCTGTTTGATCCGCAGCGATCAAGTTTGGCGAGGCCACACGGGCTAGTTAGTGTAGAGGCGCGACGTGGAGGGGGACTGGAAGGGGAGGGAAAATAAAAGTAGGGCCGCAAACTATGGGATGGCACAACGGGCCACTAGCGCAAGCTGAGACGATAGGAGGGGGTGGCAAGCGATCAAGATAATAATTCAGACTTAATTCACACCCCCTGGGCTGGGAGGAGGCTGCGCACTCAATCTTTCGTGAGAGATACAGAGAGAGTTGTCAGATGGAAGTTTGTTTGATGTTCCAATTGTCCCGCGGAGGGGATGAGAATCATCAAACGGTAACCTCGGACGCGGGCGGCATCCGTTCGAAACCCGCACACGGCAGAAGTCTCCGAATTCACTTCATCAACTCACAACGGCCGCCGCCGCGGAACGGGCCCCAGAGCGGCAGGAAGGTTTTTCTGTCCCTCTTGTTTCTGACATTCCCATGGAGAGTCTCCGAGACGGAAGCCGGGAGCGAAAGAGAGAGAGAGAAGAGAGGATAGAGTGGGGTTTCGCAACGAGCCGCAGACAGAGAGCAGACAAGCCGGGATTGCCCAACAAGGCCTGGACCGCGCGTTACCGCCCCCCTCCCCGATACGGTAACTGGACCGTGTTGAGGCGCATGAAGCAATAGTGTGGCCTCTCAGGGCTGAGAGACCGAAAGAGAGCAGAGACGCGTTGCGTTGCCTCGCCTTGCGGTTGCGTGTCTCTTTATGGGATGAGACGGGAAGACGGGGGGCGGACGGTTTGACGGACACCGTTGTCGTTTTTAGCAACCACCGACCAACTATCGGTCAACCATAAAAAGAAAAAAAAAAAAGAAGAGACGAGATTGGGCATTGCTACTGAATACGACCTCTAGTTCATGCGCTGGCCTTGTCAGCCTTGTTCGTCGTTTTGGCGTCACGTTCTCTCTCGCATTGCTCGGGCGACGGAGCAGGATTTAGAAGGAGCAAATATGAGCATGCCTCTTTCCAATGTGTCCCAGACGGTTGCGCCCAAAACGGAAACACGAACGTGCAATGTGAGGCTCGGCTGGCCAGCGGGCCCCCCTTTGGCAAATTAATACGGACTGGGGCAGAAGAGAGCATCGCCCTTTTTGTGGAAACCGCTCCGTCTTCTTCAGATGCTTCAGACATGGGTGAATTTCATGGGGGAGCTGCGCGGGCAGCGCGGCCGTCGTCGTTGTCGTCGTTGGCATGGTTCAGGTTGAGGAAGGGAAGAAGGTTGATGGCAGACGGGGGTGGAGATGGGATTCATTCTTGGAGATGTGAGGAAGAGAGAGAAGGGGGTGGGAGGGAAGGCAATCATTCGAGCGAAAGGGGATCGGGAGATCGGGCGGAGACATT